GGCCTGGCCAGCCGTGAGCAGTTGCTGGAGTGCCATGCGCAGAGCGGCCGGTCGGCCAGCTGTGATCTGCACTCAGCCACGTGCTCCGAGCAGCCAGTGGGCCGCACTTTATTCTTTTATAAAAATGTAGTGATGAGCTACAAAAAATTTCGATCAGGCCGTATGCAGCCCTCCAGAGGCCTGTTTGACATGCCTGATCTAGTCTGACCTTCAAAAACATTGTTTGGATGAAGTATATGTACCGGAGAGGCAGGCAAAGTTGATTTTAGGTTTTTTTTGTTGTTGAGTATTTAAAATATATGTGCTATTGTTGCCTTTCACATATGAAAAATAATTCTTCCGATTTTTTTCATATTATGTTCTCATTCAAATGTGGTGTAATATGACAACATAGTAGAACTATTGAAATAAACACCTGTTACTGAAATTTCATTTCTCAAAGCAAACCAAAACTATTTTTATTAGTAACATAAATCATGTGGAAAGGCGCAATGAGGAAAAAACTGAATTTATTGCATACAAAACGAATAGAGTTTAATAAAATGTTTTGGAAATTAAATGGATTATACAGTATAACTGTTAAGCCTATAGCAGTAATAAATATGTATCTTGATTATTTTTATTTTTACAAATATGATGTAATTCAGGAAAACATCTTTATTCAGGACAGCATTCAAGCATGTGCTTAACTTGAAGCATGTGTTAAACTGACTTTACTGGGATTTTGCTTTTCCTGAATCAATGCCATATACAGGCAGTCCCATCGGCCCCCTACTTACAAACGGGGTGAGGCAACCCCGCACTAGCTGCTTCCCCCCAGCAGACCAGGGAGACGCGAAGCTAGTGTCCCCCCCGCCCAGCAGACCAGGGAGAGGTGGAGCGGCTTTTCTCAGCAGACACCTCAGCTTGAGAATAAAGCCTGAGGGAAGTGAGGTGTGGGAGAATAAAACTGAGCTCTGGAGAAATGTTTGGCTAGAGTTTCCCCTACAATATGTACCAGTTCCGACTTACATACAAATTCAACTTAAGAACAAACCTACAGTCCCTATCTTGTATGTAACCCGGGGACTGCCTGTATATCCGTAATATATATATTTATTCCCTGCTGTTGTCGATTTCATCTGTTTTTCCCCTTCATCTCTAATATGGAAGGGACGCAGCGAAACAGTACACAAGAAGTACAGCTTGCACAGATGTTTTGAAGTCAGAATTCTATCCATTTATAATGGAGTTTACAATAACTTTGTATATCTGATTTTATTACTTTAGGTATGTATCTGGTTTCCAAATATATACGTAAGAAATCGGACAGTGTGGTCATTTTCTCAGGGGAAGGCTCAGATGAGCTTACACAAGGCTATATCTATTTCCATAAGGTAAGAACAATATTTTGTCCTCAAAAGAAAAAGGGTGGTTGTTTGTGCATGCACATATTGGCCAAAATAATCAGAAAAGAGTTCTTGGAGAATAATACATTCATTATTTCTGATGCAGGTACTTTATGTCCATTTATAAGTAAATAATGTATTAAAGTGGACATAAGTAAATAGTTTTCAAAGTCCCAGTCTCACAAATGCTTTGCATACAAGCTGTTGTACTTATGAATAGTTCCACTGAAGTCAAATAATAGCTTTAATAAGACATCATTAGCTGTGTCCAGGATCCAGATGTTTCCTTTTTCCTACTTTTTAGAATCTTCTTTTAGAGATCATTACACATTTTAGTAATAATTTTTGATTGAAACATTTTGTTTCTCTTGTACATTTTTAAAAGTAAATTTAGAATTGGTTAATGTGCCAGCCGTACACTGAAGGACCGATCTGACACTTTCCTTGATCTGAGGCTCTTCCCATTAACTCCTGTTTATGGTACAGGGACAGTCCTGTAACAACAGTGTAGGTTTTCCCCATACTGCCCTGCTTGTGTGCCTCAACACTGACCTGCTGAGAAGAAGTCTAATGTTGAGCAAAGAGTTCAGTCTTCTTTTTCTGCAGTTCTCCTTTGGGATGTCAACTTGTAGTTGACTACACAATTAACCGATTTAAACCTGGGCATATTGGTTAATCCTGTTGCCTACACACACTCTTCCCCCTCCCCATCCCTCTGTCAGAGGCAGCGCCGGGGATGGGGGGCAAGGGCTGCTGCTGCGGAGTAGCCTCTGTCCGTGGCAGGTCTAGGCTCGCCACAGATAGACGCTGTTCTGTGGGATGCCTGCTAGGAATGTAAGTGACTAGTCAACTACCTGATAAGTCAAGACTTATCAGGTAGTCGTGTCACTACTCAGCTAGTCTCTCTCCCTAGCCCCCTTGCTGCCTATGTATCAGAGACAGCTAGGAAGGAAGGAAGCAGAAGCCAGTTCTGGGGGAAGTTGGCTTAAAAAGCCATTTTCCCCCAGCACCATCTCTGTAGGGGACAGGGGAGGCACAAGCTGGGACGGGTTACGTACAAGATAGGGACTGTAGGTTTGTTCTTAAGTTGAATCTGTATGTAAGTCGGAACTGGCGTCAGCTGCTGCTGAAACTGATCAGTTTCAACAGCGGCTGAATCTGGATGCCAGTTCTGACTTACATACAGATTCAACTTAAGAACCCCAGGCGTCCCCAAGTGAGCTGCTGCTGAAACTGATCAGCGGCTGATTCCAGGAAGCCAGGGGCAGAGCAACTCTGCCTCGGGCTTACTGTAGTCAGCCGCAGGTCAGTTTCAGCAGCGGCTGACCTTGGGGCTCCCGGGGGCGAGGCGGCTGGGGG